ATGTGATGACTAGTGAATTTGGTTTCTCCTGTCAAAATTTCGCATTAATTAAGAGTAAATATTTTTAGAATTCGCTGAAGAAAGTACCATACTTTATGCCATTTAAAAGAAGAAAAAAGATGGACGGAAAAGAAACTGAGGCTAGCGTAATTATTTCGATCGTGTTTTTTTTTTTAATTATTCAAGCAAAAATACAACTTCCAAGCTCAAAAAATATTCCTAAAATCTTCCACTCTAATCAAATAGGCCGATAAAATCAACCATAAATTTTGGTTAGTTTTCTATGCGGCCACGGTAAACAAGACTGATAATTCGTCAAGACAATTTATTAGGTTTCTCGCGTAAACAAAAAGAGCTGGTAAAAAAGGCCATAAATTGTCAAGCTTTCAGGAACTTAAGCTCTGCTTCACTATTACAAGTATTTGACTTCAATATCTATCAAACATGGAGAGATCGAACAAAAAAAATTATTTTAATTAGAAGGTTGACTTCCAGATACCGTGTCAAATATGAAAATTTCCCCGAAAATGATTTAAACTGAAATCAACGTTTTGGTTCCTTTAGAGGTAATTACTAATGTGGCATGTAAAAACCACGCAACTTGCCAACAAAACTGAAAGGGTTATGGTCTTTGCTGTCGAAAGTGAAAATATTTTAAATTATTTTATTTCACAGAAAGACGACAGGGAAATTTTTGGAGTCGCCATCATGCGGTGCCTCATACCCAGGCTTCCTGCGTACGTCCCATCCTGACGGTCTGAGCTTAGGAGAATATGTTAAAGGAACAGTATGCTTTTCACAAAATGGCGGCTGTTATAAGACGCAAACAATCAAGATCATGAAATGTCAAGGATTTTGGATTTATGAGTTAGCTCGACCAGGTATCAAAAGAGCGAGATATTGTGGAGATAAAGGTAAGACGTGTGATAAGTTTTCCTGTTAGTGATTATTGTAGTCAAACGTCCAACACGCTACATGTCGTTTAAACGATTTCTCGAAATGTACAATATGAGCGAAAAGCGATGCGAAGCAAGCGGTAGAAACGTTGTATGACTAGGACGGCTAAGAATACGAAAACCAAAAGCGGAGAAGACGGTAAGCGGACTGGATCATTGAAACGTAGCAATGGTAAAGCACAAGTCAACTGATCAAAAACGCATGCGTAAAAGGCCTTAACGAGACGAAATTATGCGAAAATACCTAACAGAATATTGATTACGTAAAAGTGAGAAAAAGGAACAAAGAATGCGATAATGAGGGGAAAAATGCGCTTACAAACGAGAAAGCAAAGAAAAGAAACAAATACGGCCATGCGGCGGTAACAGTGATTTTAAAGAGAAAACTCTTGCGTTTTGCTCAGTTTTCTTGTTTATTGTACTTTTCTTGTTTATTGTACTTCTCAAGATTCGGGCGACATGACTAAAACTCCCCAAATATAGATAAATGTTCCCGATTTCATTTTGTAAGAACAAACGAGATGTTATAATGTACAAAAACACTTTCGGTTAAATTCGTCTTCATGTGTTCGTACGGTATGATGCCTCATAACCCATGATGGCTAAGCCAATGAAAACTCTAATATTGCATTATGCGCTTATCCAGTTTTTAGTAAATACTGATATAATACTGGTCTGCATGAACGTTCAAAAATCAAGACATAATGTGTGGACAAATTAAAATTGTATACAAAAGTGGAGATCACTCGATACTACATCACGTGGTACCGTGTGCTAAGCACCAATCACGTAAAAAGAAGATAAGATTTTAGGACGTGGGTAAAAATTCGAAGCTAAAGAAATTTGAAGATTTTATCGTTTGAATTTAAAAAACATTAAATTGTCACTAGCCAGGTATTAGGAAAGTTGGAAACATAACCTCATTTCACTTGCGATTGTTTTTTTCGAATGATGAAAATAATAGTTCTGAAGCCAACGGAGAAACCATGCGACGAAAAGAAGTTACTATATGGTAAGTGTGCCTGAAATATCATGATGGACTTCATCTCTATTCACAAAATATACACACCTTATTTGATCGTTTAACATAATTCCAATATGCGGGGATATGTTGGAGTAGGTTATATCAACTCAGTTGAAATTGTAAATTGGCCACCGTAACAAATGAAAAATTTACAATTTCAACTAAGTTGATATAACCAAATTACCTTGTTACCCCCACCAACGCAGCACCACAGGTGCTTTAGAAACTTTTAGCCTTTATTATTTTGTAGGGGCGAGAGGCCAAGGGTACCTTTTACTCATTGTCCAGAGAGAATATCTCTTTCTAATCAAAAGTAGGATATTAAAAACAGCAAAGACCTTGCGGAAATTCCTACGTTTTGCCTTACAACCTAACTCATTTTTACTCAGAGTTTGAGCTCCAAAAGCTCGTTTACAATGAATTCGCTCGATAGAAATATAATTCAAAAATTAAAACTTCGTATACTATATCCATTTAACCCTTTTGCGCTGCAGGTCTGAACAAGAAAAACGCTGCCAAGTCTTGCCAAGATCTTAAAAAGAAACAAAAGAAACCAGAATCTGGGATATATTGGATTAAACCTGACGGTAAAAATGCCTTCCAGGCCTACTGCGATCAAGAAACAGACGGTGGAGGCTGGACACTAGTATACAGCTATACATTTACGAACTACAGGTAACTGAGACATACATGGAGTTTTTCCTTATACCAATTCGCTTAAACTTCAATTTACTCTACAAATAGGGCCCTGACCGAATGTTCAGGGTCGAGAGAACGGTAGGGAAAGGCTTTTATTGGCCGCGCTCATACCACGGTGAGATGACAGGTAGCTTATGCATCGAGGGCAAAGATCCATTCCTCATTACTGAGGTGGAATCTTATTTAATTGCACATGTTCGAGGTGGAACAAGAGCTGATAATCTTTTTTGATAAGCGGAGCTCACCAGAGAACCATCCAAGTCATCACTTACTCGGGACTTTTCAATGAAATTTACGTTTAGAACCTCTTTCAATAGATTGTAACATCACCTCTGTTTGATGGTTGTAGCCACATTTTTAACAGAAATATTAAAAAATATATATGGAACGTAAATTTAGGCTAGCCCCCCACGCCCTTTTTCATTTGTTTTGTTTGTTTGCTAGTGGGTAATCTACGAAATAATTACGAATTGACAAGGTGCCCAGGCTACAAACGATCGAAGGACATTCTCTTCTAGAGGAACCTGATGATCGAGGCGACAAACAATTTTCTCATTGGAATGGAAATTTAACACTAAAACACTTCTCATTTCATTTTTCAGGAGCTTTAGGTCAACATCTAACGCCGTTACGCCACGTCCTAGCTGGTACGCCCCAGCTGCTAACGTGCCTGTGTCCATCACCGCCCCCGTCAGTGAAACAGACTACAACGCCATGGAATTCAGCCTGTGGAAAACTCTTGGCCATGAGTTCATGATCAAGTCTAACATAAATCACTGGATTGTTTGTACATGTACAGAAAGTACCGGAAGTTTGGTGGATTTGCGAGAAGGGAACCTACAGTGTCGCAATATAAAGAACGTTGCATCCGGGTGTCATGACTTGGTTCCCGACCGGCTCATTGAGATCACCGCTGGAAACCCTAACAGTCAGACTGTGGGCCCTGATCTCATTCGTTCCTCAAGCAGTACTAATCTGAAAGAATATTACTATTTCGATGGAAATACTCGCACTAATTGGCCTACCCATGATCCATGCGGAAGAAACAGCTTGAATCAGCTCACCAACGTTCCTAATCCTCATGGGAACATCTACATCCGAGAATGAAGAAGAGGAATGGCCCTTTACTATAAAAGTAGCCTATTTAAACAATAGAGTGTTTCTTTTGAGGAACTATCGGCTGATAGTTTCCCCGCGGAAATTTGATGTTCTTAAAACAAATGTTTGCCCGAGAAGCGAAGCTTCGAGGGAAAATATGCTAGTTTTAAGAACATCAAATTTCCAAGGGGCAACTATCAGACCGATAGTTTAGAGACATAAAGACTCTATTATTTTTATTTTTCACCCCTAAATTTCCTTCCGCGCCTACAGCTTGTCACAAATGTCAATAATTCGCAACCGTACATCGGCTAAATAATACGTTATACCTGTCAGAATTGAAAAGTCACTGTTTTTCCGATCTGCCTAACTTTGCGGCCGTCAAACTATTCAAAACTTTTCACAGATGAGTACTATCAATCCAGGTATTTTCCGGGGACGGGCACTATTCATCCGGGTATTTTCCGCGGGTGGGCATTATGGGCTGATGGTGTCTATCCACGGATGAACACTATCGCGTCACGTGATCGATTTAAACCAATAACAACCGGAGAAAATTTAGTGGTGAAATATAATGTCTATTAGGGTGAAAGTAGTATTAAGGTTCTTCACTGAATAAAAGGGATGAAATTATATATTCGGTCTCTTATCACTTTTCTTTTCGTCAAAATGCTTTCAATGTAACTCTGGAGAGGTTTTCAAATCAGAAGATCCGGATTCGAGCTGCATAGGTCGGGCGGGTTATTTTGTGTGTTTTCATGATAAGGAAATCCCTCAACCGCATTCCTAAGAGCTGGTAACAGGAGAGATCTGGAACCCAAGTTAAAAAACACCTAACTTTCAAAGTGTTTATGGAGGCTTTGCCCCTCTGTCTGTAAGTTCGCCCCCTTCTAGTTGGCCCCCACGATGACATGTCCGTCCCCCATCATCACATCTAGGTGAGGGAGAGTTAGAAAGGGGCGAACTTGCAATGACGCCAAACCTCCCCTTCTTACGGTGTGTCTTTCTACTGAGGACAATTTATAGTAACGGTCAAGTTTGATAGAGACTGGGGTGGGGGGAAGGGTAGGCTCGTATTCCGCTGTTTTCCCGAGTCTGGTGTTCCGGTGTTCTATTCCTCCCCCCCCCACCCGAGATGGGTGTATATGTCACGCGACCAGTCTTCTGTATTTGGGTTTGTTGACGAAGTTGGCGTTTGTCGACACATTATTAAAACTGCCATCTTGATCTTGTCTAACCAATCTTGTCTTGTTTACTGGACCTTGGGCTAATACATTACAGAAACCATAGCAACGTTGAGATCAGAAAACAGAAGTGCGTTCAATCATCTACATTTTTCTGATCTTCTCATAAGCATAGCCGACATTAAGAACAGTGGCCTCATCAAACTTTCTTCCCACAATCATCATACCGACCGGTAAGCCATCACTGACGCCGGCGTTGATTGACAGGGCTGGGTGACCCGTCATATTAAAGGTGCACGTATTTATGTAGTTCTCGCTGCAGCATGTCATATATTCTAAAGAGAGAAGAAATTGAAAAAGAATTAAATTATGGGAATTAAAGATACGACTAAAGGATTTCGTAATTGAGAAAAGTTCTGTACTTGTCCGACGCTTTAAGAACAAATTCGAAGCAAATAAAAATATAAATTTGTATTCAATCGAACACTAACAGCAGCCTTCTTCGACTTCTTTCTTAATCTATACGGTTTCTTATGAACCCGAGCCTTTGTAATTTTGGCTTGACGAGGTTTACCCTGTTTCCGATGTGTACTTCCCTAAACTTGTACCTAGACCTCCCTTGGCCACACGGAAGCATACTTTTCAGTTACACGGTAGGATTTGGGTAGGAGTTCAGAACTCCTATTAATGCTTCTTTATAAGTCGGGTCTCTGTGTGTCAATGTAACCCTTGCATATAGAGAAGCCAATAAGGAAAGAATACCTCAGAAGACTACGAAACATCTACGTTAAAATATTCACCTTTATACCCTAACATCACTATGCATATTCTCCTTACTGTTCTCTATACATTTCCTTAGTTGCTAACAAGGAGAACATGTTTAACAATCAAGAACTTCTTTCGTTATTGATGATTTTATTTATTCTCATGACTTTAATGTGTGATTCTGGGGTGATATTGTAGGGAGAATTTAGATGCTAGTCACTCTAAGAAGTCCAAGGGTTAACAAGGCAACATGATGTTCCTCTAAAGGAGAGCAAATTTCTTAGCAACAAAATACTTTTTAACAAATGGTAAACAACACAGCGTACACTATTGAGTAATGGATGCACACGGGAGTTTGCTAAGCACGAAAGAAGCGTAAGAGTCGCGCGAGGCGATAGCCGAGAGCGACTCTAGCTTCTTGAATGCTTAGCAAACCTCTCATTTGCATCCATAACTCAATAGTGTACGCTGTGGCGTTTACCATTAGTTTTATAACATAACATTGATACATTGTAGCAAAAGAGTTCCCTTTTATTTAAAAAATCTTACGTGACCAAAAAAAGACAAACGCGCGCGGAAAAATAGTCTTTGCATTTGCTCACGTCAGCAGCGTACACCCATGGGCAAATGGAGGACGCTGAATTGACCAATCAGAACGCGCGCTTTGCTTTGGTTATGTTATAATCTTATTTGTGCACGATCCTCGCAGTAAAGAGCACTATTTAAGCAATAGTGAAAATCAGACCTGGAAAAATTCAGGCCTGTGCGGGATTCGAACCACTGACCTCTACGATACTAGTGCAGCGCTATACAAATACGTTGCTATAACCGCAGTTCAGATTTATGAATTCCATATATTCGTTGTATTTGAATTATTATCTTACGTGTTTATGTCGAATTAATTTGATGACCTACTCCCAGCTGGCTTGTTAGCTCAATTGGTAGAGGTCTGATTTTCACTATTGCTTAAACAATGCTC